TGTTCAGCAAACATTACATCAGTTCAACTCACACTGAAGTTGTTTGAACTTTTGGTAGTTATCATCATGAAACAGCCAGTGACAATGCCACTGCCATATTATGTAACTTCAATTTGAGAACTGTAAGAATCAGTGAATACTAACTATGATTAGGTGATAATAAAAACAGAGGCTGTCAGTTTGTTTCATGCATCCAGAGAAAGCAAACCACCGTGACCATTTTTTTTTTCCAAGGTTTGCGGTTTAGCAAAAGTAGTTATAACAAATAATTTTATAGTATCAACTGATGAAATTAACATATTGTATCTTTATCTTATTGTTTTGGTTGACTGCTCTCGTTTTCAGCTTCAGCAGGCTGTAAAAAGGCCCCATGAGTCCATTGTAATCAACCTGCCCGACACCGAACAGCAGACACACATGGTTCGAGACAAGCTGGTGAAAGCAGTTAAACATTTGGCAGCTAAAGAGTAAGATAGTTTCATCAGGAGTTGGTGGAGGCCATACCAGAGTTAAAAGGAGAGTGAATTTTTGGACTTCATCAGGTGGAAACAAACACAACAGACAGCTGGTTGCTAGTAAGCTCATCATATCAACTTGATAAGATGATAATATGAAGGTTTTGTCTTAACAACCTTTTGTCCCACCTCAAGTGGCCAAAAATAAGTAATCAATTAATTCAGGTTCAAATTTGGTTATATTCTGGCATTTAACCTTTATCAGGCATATACTGTATATTTCTGTTGCCAAAAATAAACAAATTTCAGGTCTGTCAGAGGATCGTAATACTGGCCTTGGAGACAAGTTTTGCTTGTAACTGAAGGCTAGCTAATGTTTTACACCAGAATTGTTTGGTAAAAATAAAAAAATATACAGATATATTATGATTTATTAAGGTCTCATTTTTTGATGTCATCACATAGAGAAGCAGAATCAAGTTGAGAGTGTAAGAACATCTGTACGAGCAAGGCCCTGGGTGGACAGGCTACATTGTTCAAAATTTAATGTACAGCTACAAGCCAGGGCTGCTGTTTTACTGTGTCATATTCAGTTTAGTCAGGCAGAAGTTGGGTGGTGCTATGCTGGAAAACATGACCAAACCTACACTAAGAAGAATAACAAAGTATGCTGTCATTTTGAGGGTGCAGCAAAACTAAAATCAAGTGAGGAAGATCAGTCAAGACTAGATTGTAGATGCCCAGACAGTCATGAGAGGAGGCCTTTACAGGCAACATAACTGGAACCGCTGGTGTTAGTGGACTTTTCCAAAACACCACTTAAGCCACATATAGAGAAATGTCATGATATAGAAGAAAACAAAACAGGTCTGCACACTGTATTAAGCTCCCACCAATTTAATTCAGCAGTAGCAAGATCTTCATCAAGCATCATGCTGAAAAGCACACATTTATACACCTGCTAAGACACTACTCAGGTGTTTTCAATCTGGCTGACTCAAGAACAATCTGACCAATCATGACAGAGCCAAGCTGTGCCGCCCAAAACTCCCCACTAAGGGAGCAAAACATGCCAATATGGGAAGAACAATCGAAAAGACAATAAACATAATATGAAAAAAATAATCACAAAAATATCAAATGTATGTATAAACAATACAATCACATCAAACTAGATAAAGTAACCAATACATCAATCATGTTCCAAATACTAACCAGATCATAAAATGGTCTTAAATCAAAACCTGAATTTATCTGAATTTTAGGTTATAAAGTACTGAGAGTGAAAATGTAAAATGCTCCCCTCCAGATATATCTTATCATATAAATAACATGTTTTGTACTACAAGTAATGACGCTTCTTATATTACATCTTTTACGGGAATGCAGAGAAAAGGAGTGGAGAATATTCTATAATGCTTTACATTTTGATTTTGATTTAAGGCCATTTTTGTGATTATGGTTAATATTTGGAACATGATTGATGGTATTGGCTGCTTCTTATTGAAATTGGACTACTGACTAGAAATGTTTAATAGTTTTCAATTTTTTTTCTTTTTTATGAATTAATCTAGTTTGATGTGATTGTATTGTTTATACACATATTTGATATTTTTATGATTTTTTTCACATTATATTTGTTGTCTTTTTGATTGTTCTTCCCATATTGGCATGTTTTGCTCCCTTAGTGGGGAGTTTTGGGTGGCACAGTTTGGCTCTGTCATGATTGGTCAGATTGTTCTTGAGTCAGCCAGGTTGAAAACACCTGAGTAGTGTCTTAGCAGGTGTATAAATATGTGCTTTTCACTGTGATACCCGTTTGACAATACCCAATGTAGACTTTAAACTGGTGGGAGCTTGATACAATATGCAGACTTTTTTTTTTTCCTCCCTTTCAAATTGTTGTTGGTCAAGCACCTGTTTAAGTTGTTTGGACATGCGTGTCCTATGTTCTTTGTATGATATAGAAGAAACCCTGTTCAGAACTTTGAGCCTCCGTGGTTATCGACCAGAACAACACTGAACGCTAACTAGCTCTAGTAGCTGACAATGTGCCCACTACACCGAAATCTAAAACAAAAAATGTTGCCAAAAGGATAATTAACGTTTCATATTATGTTATCAAGCACTGTGTATAGTCTCACCAGGAAAAATGATACTTTAAGTTAGCTTTATCTTAATAACCTGAGGTGATTCCAGCAGCACTGCAGGTGTCATGTGGAGGGCAACTAGGAACAAAATTACAACACAATGTGAAACCTAATTCAAGATAGTGAAAAGGCAGTTAAACGTTTAAGTTCCTCTTTATGTGGCTGTCATCACTCGATATGTTCCTGTAGTAACATTTCCTCATATGTGCTCTCATTTTAAATATGAAACAGATTTTATTCAGTCAGTCTGTTTGTACATTATTAGCCAATCAGATGGACACCATGTCAGTACTGGGGCACTTTGAGGAACTCATACACAGAATCTCACAATCAGAGCTCACAAGTTGAACATGGCCGTTGTAAAATGAGGAATTTGATGTTGCAAACCAAATAAATTGGTTTTTTACACATGAAGTAGCATTAAACATTCAGTTAAGCATCTGTCTTACATATCAAGTGTAATCCTTCAAATGTTAAGTAGTATGTACATGAATATTTAATGAACCACTGAATAATGGTCTTTTGAATTAAGATGGAAGACAATAACACAGATGCACTTGATTGCAGCTGCTATAACAGTGACCAAAAACTTGTATCTCAATTAATCTGTGAAATACAAAAACAGACAATGAATTCACAACACACCTCTGTAATGATTTATATCTACTAGTGTGGTTTGTTCACCTTTTTTTTTTATTAAAGTCATTTTGATGCTGCTTTTTTTTAAGTTTTCTGGACTTCTGGATACAACTCCCCACAAAATTCTTCATTTGATGTTCTCTCACTGACTTCTCTCTAAAATTCCTCCCAGAATGCCTTGTGTTGTCTGGCCTACTAAAGAAGGCTGAACCATGCAACGGCCAGACCGATGCGAACAAGGAAAGCCAAGGCACATGAAGAACCTATTAGGGGGCCTAGCAGCCAGCAGCAACCCTGGGAGGCCAGCCAACTCAGTGTGTGAACAATGGGAACCCAGCTCAACAAAAACATCCTGCAGAAGTGAGAGACTGGGAGGGAGGAAAGGACAAGCGAACAGTATAAGCCAGATAGCCCCTTTAGCCTACTATGGTATCAAAACACTAACTTTGTTGGTATTGTACCTGACAAAGAAATGCACCGTGCTGGTGCACCTGATGTGGTCAGTCCAGAAGCTGAGGTCAGAGATGGTTCAGCTGCAGCTCAGACAACAAGTTTAACAGTAGCTCTAACAACTCCAAGACCCTTCACTTGTTCAGTTTAAGATCAAACTGAAATGAAAACTCTCAAACCATAACTGTTTAGTTATTTGCATCATATTTGCAATTCTGATTGCTCAAACATTTGCAGCTAACTGCAGGGCAACACCCATTAAATATCGCAACACAAACAGGTCCGACATGTATAAAGCTGTATTGCCATATCATTTTTCCCATGACCCTCCCACAGCAGTTCAATATCTGTTTCAGCTCAGCTTTTCCATGAAACATGGAAACATGACTCAATTAAAGGTTTGATTCCAAATAAACAGGTGCTAAGTGGCCAACATGTAACCCACAATATCTTGTGCTTGTTTTGTCGGTGCTACAAAGAAGAGAAAAACATGATTTAGAATCACATTTTTGTCAACTTTTGTCAGTCAGAACAGAATGCACACAGACTAACAACCTTTGTGGGTTCAAGTCCCCCCCCCAAACCCTTTTTCACTGGAAGTGAGAGTGCTTAACAGTTCAACCAGCCATTTTGAGGGCCATTTCATACATCATTACAGGAGGTGTCAAAGTACATATACCACAGGAAAAATCACAAAATAGACATAAATATAAAAACTAAGAATAGGGTTTGCAGCTTGTAATGTGGAGCCCTGGACATCTGAGAATTAGTGAGTCTTTCGCAGGAGCAGAGTAGCAAAGCCTGGGGGAAATGGTTAGTAATGTGAAAAAGAGTTTAAGAAAAAATAGCATAAGTAATGAGTGCAAGACAAACTCAAGTATATGCAAAAGCAAAGAGCTGGAGGCAAAGGCAGGCTGTTAGCAGGGAGCTGATTGTACTGCAAACCTTCAGCACTAGAATCATTAGAAAGAGAGCACAAGAGAAGAGTGTGTGTTAGAAAGTTTTTGAGTGTGTGTGGGGGTAACATAAAACCAGCTCTCCCACAACACACACAGGGGAGGGGACCCTTCTTTAAACTGAGCTTACCCACAATGCACTGAGCTCTTTTATCCCGGTAGTGAAAGGATGAGGCCAGATGAATGACAAAAGGAGAGAATGGGGATATGGGTTGGGTCCGGCCTGGGCTGCAGGGAGGGGAGAGAGAGAGAAAGAGAGGGGAGGGTGGGGTGGGTGGGTGCCAAATCAAACCAAACCAAACCAAACTTTTCTATGAAAAATTTAGGGGGGGGGGGATAATACGGCACTCATCTCCACATGACATTATGTCATCATCACAGTGTTACAAACATTCAAAAACAAAAGAAACAAAGACATCAAAAATCAAACATGGTGGAACAGCATCACTCATGAAAATTCAGCTGGTTCCCCTTGTTTGAAATGAAGCAAGACCTCAAACACAACTTGGTCCAAAGAAGTCAGCACTTTTTTCTATTTTTTTTTAGAAACAATCCTCACTTGTGTGCACCAATCCAGCGGCTGGCTCCTTACGTCATAAATGTTATGACGCTGGTAAGTTGAACAACCACACAACCGTGCAATTTTTAACCATGTTACAATGATCTTACCATCAAATGTATTACTCCCCTTTCAAAAAAAAAAAATCAAAAAACAGGAGGACAGCACTTCAGAAAAGTAAGTGCCCCAAGGTATCATCATCATCAGCATCAATATATATATATCCATATGTATATATACACCCAATCACAGAGATACACGCATCTTTGTTAAAAAAAAACATCATGTTTTTTTCCACAAAGTAACACACACATTAGGACATAATCACCTGGAGCATATATTTATACAATAGTATTTTGTTGTGTTTGTTTTTTCCATTCAGAAAAAATTTAAATGTTGACACATAAAAGCCAACTTTTCAACAACAGTCATCAGTGCAATATTCAAACACAAAAAAGAGAAAAAACAGATCAAGTTTAAGACAAGCGATGCATATTTCATTTGTTGCCTGATATCAATCTATACCTTGATGCAGTGGATCTATCGCTTCAATTACTTGTGGTGGTTCCAGGTCTAAAATGGAAAGTTCTCAGTCTGGATGACTATTCAACACGGGGGCCTCATGAGAAGCACACAATCACACATACAAACACACACACACACACACACACACACAAAAAGTTCAACAATTTCTCATGAGTAGAACCAGTGCTATTGTGAAGCTTCTTGGTCGATGAGCAGTAGGCTTTAAAAAACATTAAAAAAAAACTAAACAAAACATAAAAGCAGCATTGATACAAATGTCAGGGTGCCATGACTTTCAAAATGCAGCAGGCAAGTTTATGGAACCAAATTATTATTTGTTCTTCTTTTTTTAAATGACATCCTGCAATAGTCATGTGTTGTATTTTCTTCATCATCCAACAGTATTAGGGTTCTGCTCAGTAGTAGTAACTATTCCAAAGCCTTGGCTCCTGCAGTTACCCCATACAAACACTGGGGGCGCACAAGGCTCCGCATTTTTGTGCAATAAAACTCCCTGCCTTTATTAAGTCATGCGATACAATTCCATTTTTGTATGACTAAAAAAATTAGAAAGCAGAAACGACCACACAGGCCGTTGAAGAGAGAGAGAGAGAGATGGATCAAAGGGTTATAGGGAAACGTGTGTGTGCGAGAGAGAGAGAGAGAACCACAGACTCCCTTGCAGGTAGGCAAAATGATGCTTAGCTTGTCATAATTGGTTTGGTTGTAGTGTAAAATAAACTGTCCCGACTGAGGGTGCAGAAATGGGTGCATTGCATCTTCTGTAAGTTAATAAAACATACTGGCATGCGGATGATCACAAACTGTGAAACTCTTCAGACTCCAAACAAAGCTGAACAACTTGAGAATACTTTACAGTCGAGGTAGCTGGCAAAAGGCAACCAAACAAAATCATTTGAATAAGAAGGAGAAAAGTCCTCTTAAGGGTCAACCAGCTTTAACAGAGGGGGTTTCTGGTATTCTGGGGGACGTCTACCTCCACACGGGACAGTTTATACTACGAGTCTGAAGCAGCTTGAGTCACCCTAGATATTCTTACACTTACAGTTTTTTTTTGTTTTTTTTTTTTTTGAAGAACCACGACATATTCAAAATGCATCTTCTCAATGTACCTTCATAAATTAAAAAAATAAGCCCAGCCTGCTTTCACAGTGATGACTAGGATGTTAATAAAATACTGAAAGGAGATTATAAAGTGAATTCCAAATGCGACTTTTTTGATACAAAGCGAAAGCAGCGGTTTTTATTAACACAGTGACCATTAGCAAAGTGGTCGCACTGGCCTGAAAAGTTGGACACCAGCATGGCAAGATCTGCTTGCAGTACGCAGAGCGCATCCAGCTACTGTCTCTTCTTTAAAATAAAAAAAAAATCAAAGTAAAGCTATTGTGTACAGTACTTCACAACAATGATGAAGTCAATTGTTGTTACATAATGATTACACATTTGAAAAGCATGTTGGATAGCCATAATGCCGCTCTTTGAGTAAAAACAAAATCATTCAATGAATATATTTATTAAAGAAAATAGACCTCTGGCTGCCAACAGAGGGCAACCATTCTTCTCTTGTTCATGTGTCTTCCCTTTCAGATATTCCAGCATGCAGCCATATAGCATCAAGTGCCATGTTTCATAGAAAATAACTTAAAGGGGGTTTATAAGTGAACAGTGAAGAGCAACAGGTCAAATCTGAGCCCCCCACAAAAACACTATTCAGCTGTACTAAGGATGGGATAGGGAAAAACTGGTCCATCTGCACTCTGGAGTCCATACACACACGTGTAATACACAGTAGTGACTGGCTTCTTTTATAGTGGACGACACGATCTAGTATGGGCCTACACATTCAAGAGGAAAGCTTTAGTACCAACAAACTCACCGAAATGGCGTTTCTTTTGTTAAAGACTCGCGTTGAAGCGCTGTGTATGAACCATGTGGTGCTTCACTCAGGAGTGCAGATAGGGCCCCGTTTGGTTTGCAGTGGGGGAAGATTATCCTGCAGGCCTATTATGTATTTCCTTTTTATACAATTTGGCACAACTAGGCCTATGTAGATAATGGCAGTTTTGTTGCTTTTACAAGAGCCTGGCTTTATCGTGTGTTGCAGTTTTATTTTCCATTTGTTGCTGTTGTTTTGCTATTTTTTTTTCTTATTTTACCTGACAGCAGAGACAGATCACCGGGCGCCAGAGGAGTACTTGGCCTTGGTGATGAGGTATAGAACTATGTCTTGGTGGCCCCCGAAGGCGGCGATGTGTAAAGCGCTCCACCCTTCCCTGTTGGCCAGTCGGATATCTGCACCAAACTTCACCAGCAGTTTTACCAGCTCCAGGTTCCCGTCAATGACGGACTGGTGAAGGGCCGTCTGTCCTTCTGGCCCGAAGGAGTTAACGTTGAACTCGCAGTTTGTCATATTTTGCAGCAACGAGTGCAGCTCCTTGGTGTTACCCTTCTTCACCGCCTCCTGGAAAACCTTCTGCGGCGCGGAGCAAGTCGACACATCCGCCTGACTCATGGTTGCAGTTCGCTGGAGAGTGGGGGACCAATAATCCTGCCTGGGCTCTAAAGCTGATAGTAATTGTCTTCTCCCTGTTGAGCGTCTCTTATCTGGTAACAATGCCACAGTTACACTGGATTATAACCAGTTATTAAGGCACTTTAAAGTACTAACAGAAGAAAAATCACTGTATATATCCCCAAAAGGACAAGAGAGGAAATAACACACTCGGTGTGTAAAAATGTTAATATCTGAGAGATCATGAAATCCCTGAAATATAAAAGGCTGCTCTCGAGCAATCCAGGAGTCTCTAGATCAGGTTGCCCCTCTGTAGCAGCAGCAGATAGCCTAGAGCAGGGGATGAAGAAGAGAGACACCTCCGACTTCACTTAGGGAAATTGGAAGTATGACCACAATCTCCACAGGGGCCGCCTCCGTGATGCCGAGTCCCCCAGGTTTTCCGTGAAAGGTCCGATGTGTTTCCTGGCTCCACGTCCTGGCTATATGTCGCTGTTCATGTGTCCAGGCTGTCTGTGAAAGACAAAAAATACAAGAGAAGTCCGCATGAATCCAGAACAGACTGTAAGAGAGACCCTACATTCCGCCACATCCAAGAGTCAGAGAGGAGATCTCCGTGCGCACACGTTTACGCAGGGAGACACTGCTTGATTTTTGGCACTGAACATGTGTGGAAATGTAATTAGCTGCAGATCGTGACTTACCTGCGACAGATGGACGGGTCCGTAGCGACGAAAACGATAGGAATCCACGGTGTGGCCCGGTCTGTGTCCTGTGTACAGTCCGTGCAAGTTTCTGCCCTGCACTGCGCTCTGGGGGAATATTTTACGCGTCCTTAATTTGCATGACAATACCTTCCCAAAGAATCAACTGTGCAGGAATGGGCGGAGACCCAGGGAGGTTATAGGCTGCCGGTTCGGTTAGAGGGAGGGACCAGGGCCCCCGTGGATCGGCGGGGGTGGGGGCGTGGTCTGCCGAGAGTGGAGCTAAATGTTGCAGAAATATTAAACAAGTGGCTCACAGCAATTTTAGGTGAGCTCCATATCCAGTCTCCTGCAGCTGATCCCATAAAGCAGACTGAGAGCCAGAGGTATGGTGCTGCTAGAGCCATTAACGTCTGAAAAATTCGGATACGTTATTGTAAAGGACCCTCCACCGAATTATCATCAACAGGAACTTGAAAGAGAGGAGGCTGCTGAAAACTAAACCAAAAAGAACCTTTATTCGTTTTCTAAATGTTCTAATAGCACATCAGTGACATTTTACGCACTTTTAAACGGATATTTTGATAACGGATACCCATTGCTATAATTCAACTGATCAAGGAAAATGGAAACAAAATCCCCATTGGCTTGTGGACTAGGCTACAACTAACACCGTATTAAGTACATTTGTTTAGCCCATTAAGGTGCCCTTTAAAATACAAGAGTACCTGGGGTCATTAACACCCTTTCATGCATAAGGGGGCCGAAAGGTGCTGATACTGTCCAGTGTGGTTTGCAGCTACGTCATGTGCGCCTGTCGCAGCTTCAGTGTGGCACTGAAATGAATAACAGCGGACTGAGTGCCAAAGAACATCTAAGTTAATTTGTGCACAAATATGAAGTAAAATACACATGTATCGCTGGATGTATTGTATTGTGGGTAACCTATATTTTAAATCCACAGAGTGTGGTGCATTTCAAGTTAAGAGCAGGATAGAATTATTATTCGAGACTTCAGCAAATACATGTAGTTTTACCAATGGCTGCATCTAATGTGAACGCAACTTTCCCCCGCTAAATCAGAAAGCCAGTGTTCTCCAAGGACAATAAAAGCCTCTGAACCAAATCGTAAAATGAAAACTCCAAACAGGCCGGGAGTCTCTCAGTCGTAACGCTCTCTGTAAAGACACTTCTGCTGAGGAGATTATAGGTGACTGTTTAAATCATAAACTGCTGATATATTCCAGTTGTTTCAAATGACTAAACCGAGGGACTTAAATAGCAAACCCCCCTTCACTACTTCCTTTTTGCAAGTGAAAAGAGGTGACACTGTGCGTAGATTGACACGTAGCTCAGCTGCCCGCGCCACCGTGGGAACTGGGCGCCTGTGTGTATGTGAGCGTGTGTATGTGTGAGAGAGAGAGATAGGTGGTGACAGTGGCGGTAGATATCGACAGAAACGCAGCTAGTTCGACAGAAAGAATGCACGTGAAAGTCAAGGATGGATAGAGAGTGTGGAAACCAGGTACCCATCAGCCTCCCCCGACCGTTTGCTCCGTTTGGCAATGCATATAGTACCTCATCTCATCTGTGTAACACTTTATAACACGCCGATGGTTTGGCGGCTTTCACACTGTCCCCCCTTTCCCACACTCTGAACTGTACATTTGGCGCACGGCTGCGGCTACATCTGCCTGCATGAGCGTGCGATTGTGTCTGTGCGTCAGTGTGGGAAAGACAGCAAGATAGATCACACACAACATAATTGATTCAATCGAGAAAATAAATTTGTAAATCTGACTCAAAACGTAGGTACAGCAATATCTTAGATGGAGTGCGTTATTTCGTGTCCATGTGGAGAGCATTGTCACATTTAGTCTGGCTGGCAGGTGTCCATTAATGTCAGAAACCGGGGAAGCTGAAAGTAAACATTTTGGCCACAGACCTCGAGTCAGTCAGTCAGTGCTCGAGTTGGTTTGTTAAGCCACAGGTATAGTTGTTATCACAGAAAACTAACTTAACCACGAAATAAAACGTAGTTTTAACACTGAGCCAGCTGGTAATGAATAGTGCTGTATTCGCAAGTTAACATATGTTGAGAACTATGGTTAATCGTAAGCCTGGCCCATGGTTAAAGGTGTCTCGGTGTACAATGCATTTTAACCAGACACCTGCCAGCCAGAGTATTTCTGTTGGCCGCGCTATATTCCTAGATTTCTGCCATAGATTTGTTTAAGATCTTGCTGAAGTGAGAATGAGGGAGGAACAGTAGGCCAGCAGTTTGTGGTTGTGCCAATGATTGTAATTCATTTGTTCTGGATACTTTGGGGTGAATTTGCAGGTGATTCACTGCCTGTGTGCTGCCTGTTTTTGTTTGTTCCTTTGTGGCAAGTGGCGCACAGCTGCAAATGCTTCAAAACAAAGACCCTGGCTCTGACTCACTCACAGAATACCCAAGTCAGGAATTTTGACGTAACAGATGTGTGTTCCTAGGTACAATCTTCACACAGTATGACAAACCATCCTTTATGTGCATAATAGCATACGAAGCTCAAAACTCTCCCGACAACAATCCTGCAATAAATCCCCCCCTTATGAAGGTTAGCCCCAGCTGGTGTAGAGAGGTGTTGACTCCATTGTATGATCCTTTTGGAGGCTGCACTTTTTGCTGCTGTAAATATATGTTCCTACTTACCACTTAGGTTTACTGGAAAGTGCAGAACATCTTCTGGAAAATCGGGAACATCTGTCCGCTATCAGAGCTTGGCTGCAGTGCATCTGCACATTTGGGAAGCATTTGCACAGACCGCAGGAGCCAACATTTTCTCCGATTGGAAGAGTTTCTCCCCTAAACTCTGTGGAATTCGCTCGAGTCTCTCTGCCCCCACCACTTTGCTCCTGGGTCTTTCTCGGTAATGTTTGGAAAGCAGCCAAAACCACATAAAATCGTCGAGATGTTATAGCTATAGGTACATTTGTTCGAGCAGAGATAAATTACTCTGAACGCTTTTAAACAGTATCTGACCTTCTCTTTGACACACAGGCAGAACCATCACACTACATGTGTGAAGAAATATGTGGAAGAACAGAAAAGGCCAAAAAGAAAGATCAAAATCGCATTCCATGCATGCGTAAAAGCGCACGACAGTCAGTTTATTTGGCTGAGGATAGTGCTGTGCAGTTAGCGTGAAGAGTCACCTGGGCACGGAGACTGCTGCCAGGTCTCCTGCGGAACGGAAGCTGATCATACAAAGATAATGCAAATCTATTCTGGTTGTATTTGTGCAGCCATATTTGTTGTGTTGCAGTGTATTTAAAAAACAAGGCGTTTTTTCCGCAACAGAGAAAACACTGAGTTATATTTATCTATCTATATCCATCTATCTCACCCTCGCCCTCTCTCTGTGAAGGAGGGAGAGAGGTGACGTTTTACCAGGAGGGATGGCCTTCTGAGTCCAGTTCATTCCGGGTACCACGTGTCCTCAGAGCGTGGGAAAGAGGCGAGCTTTTCTTCCCAGCAAAGAAAGAGCAAGGATCAAATAACACGGTGCTGCAGAAGAAAGCTTGCGCTCTGCACAGAGGCTGAGGCTGCGACCACCCGACAAGGACAAGACGACACTCACAGAGAGGGACTTATCTGACTTTCATTCTTACCAATAAAAATACTTCAAGGTGGCTTATACAGTATGCTTTAAAACCGCCTGGCAATATGCCAGTTATTTTTTTTTAATTCCTAGGTATTTCAGCAAAAATGAGTCATGACATATCTACAGGAAACTAAAGACAGGCGATTTAGTTGATCCTGTTTTATATCACGTCTCATAGAAAAGGCAGCTTGATCTCAGCTTGCAAAGCCGTCATGCATCCAGTTTATTTGCAAACTTTTTCCAGTCCTGAAAGTGTAATCTGAGCATTGGAAATCTGTTTCTCAAACCCAAATGCATGAATGAATGAAAACTAAAGTAAAGCATTGATTTAAAAGAGCAGTGACAGAGTGGCTGCGTTCATTAAGCTGTTTCTTTGTATTTGATGTCACTGTAAACACTAGCTGACTGGTTATTCCAATGATATTCTGATGTTGCTTTTTAATAGAGGACACTTTATATAGGATTTATTGGTTTACAAATCAGTTGCTGATGAAGTACCAGTTATAAGCCATTGATTAAAACAATTCTGAGGGGTCTTAAGGAGACTAGTGTTTATCCTCCCACAGCATGACACTTGCTTTGTCTTTGTAGCTACTTAATACACGAGGAGCACCATAGCTTGGTGATTCCACATCTATGCTGCCCACATCTCCAGTTTTTCAGTGATTCAAATGGGAACAAGAATGAAAACCCCTCCAATGAATCATTACTCTTTCCTTCTGAAAGAGAGCTGTAGAGAATCTGGACCAATCCATTCATTATCAAGTTAATACAACTACAAATTGGCCGAAGACAGCAGCAGCAGGCTCAGACCCGGAGCATCACGGTTCAATGAGCACTCACAACAATAAAGACTGAACTTCACATTCACAGCCACAGACACCCAGTTTGATAACATTTTTCTTCAGAAGTAGCAACACTTAAAATGTCCTTACAGATAACTGCATTGTGGTTATCATCATTACTTCTACAAAAGCCCTCAGCATCCATTTTTCAGTGCCCATAATGTTATGGTAATATTGGTGTTATAGGTCCTGACCTGCCATTCAAACACAGTGTCAACATCTACAAAATGGTTTTCATTTATTTGATCTGTAAAGCATACTAAGATGGGTGGGCACTGACAGCGGTCTGATCTGAGACATCTGGTTTGGTAAAACCTCTTTCCAAATTCATTTTTATTTCCACTGTTTGTTATGATAGCAGTTCAACTCCCTCCAAAGTGATTTAGTGAAGTTAACGATCCAAGAATTTCAGCTCAAGCATTCAGTATTAAAGAATTTACATCTGTTTCCTCAATGTGACTATTCACATTTTTAGAGTTTTCAGCTCACTAAATAATATAAACAGTTTTTAAAAAACAACAGATTAATCCTGAGCAAATGTTTTCATTGTCCAAAGGCACTCAATCAACCTGAGATTCAAATCTGACCTCCTACTCCTGCTGCTATGATTCAGAGTCAGCCAAAACACAATTACCTCAGTGATTCACAGTATGACCTGTCTTAGGAAATAACTGTGGCCTTTTTGATGTAAGTCAAATGATTAATCAAATAAAGTGCACATCTGGCTATGCTTAGGGCTTCTTATAAATTATGAGAGAAAAAAAAAAGATTTTAACTCTGCCTTTCAGCACAGTTTCAAGGAAATGCAGAACACCAGAAAATCTTTAATTGCAGACTTTTCCACGGCGGATCTCTTAAAACCCTTTTGGGCAATTTCTGCAATAACACAAATCCATTGTGGGAGTGTGTGTCAACAGAAGAAGGAGACTTAGAAAGACGTTATGAGGAAATGTTAAGGCACTCAAGCAGCGCATGTGTTGGGTTACTCTGATCTGTCAGCACTGGAGCCTGGAGGCAGGAATCCCCCCCCAAGACTGTTAGTGTTACACCTAACAGACATCAGTGAAGCTTAGATGATCTCATCAATCTGTCCCCTCCTCGTCTCCACCGTCTACTTTCCGAATTGTGAAACACATCAAAAAATAAAAAATACCTGCAAACATTTATGCCTCTCACAAAGTATTAAATTAAACAAATCTGTTTATTAACACATAATCAGCTAAAAGCCAAAAAATTACAAATTCAACATATGTAGTAACAGAATGGAAACCTACAGTGCCACACTGCTAAAAAGACCAAGGAAATGAGTTTTGTCATCATCTACAGTAGCCACTGTTTTTAAGTCTAAACAATACACCCACAGTGTGACCCTAGCAGGTGCTGAATGGAACAAATGTAGCATGTACTAACGTCACGTGATTTTCCACAGCATGGCAAACAACATACAGTACAATGAATACCATGAAGAAAATAATCAAAGTGCAGCCACAGAATGAGCTCTTTTTATTTTTCTGGTATTAAAATAAGTGAAATAATAAAATGAATTTTATTTAACAGCAGCTGGGCGCTATGCGTATAAAACTTTATTCTGGATGTTTCGTAGTGTTAGGTAAACTGTAGGAGCTCTACATCAGTCAGTTTTGCTGTGCCACTGTAATGGGCGTTGCAACTGATTCAGGGTCCTCGTCTGTTATGTGTAAGACCTCCTGAAACATGGAGAGGACACGGCCAAAGTGAGAGCCTTCCCAGAACACCTTGCCACATCTGGTGCAGACATAGAAGAGCCGTATCCGCGGCAGAAGGGCAGGGGGCACGGTGTGGAGCTGTATGGGTGCCCCCCCAGGAAAGGTCAGGGTGTCGGGGTCCAACCCTGAAAGGGGGGCCCAGTGACACTGAAGGGCATACCTGGGGAGTTCAGGGGTCAGAATGTCACCAAGCTTCTCTTCTTTCTGTTGATGGGACTGCTGTTGTATGTGGTCAGTGTTGTCCTGGTCCTGCAGAAATCCTATGGGCATAACATGATGGTTTTAAGACTTCTTAAAAAGTCTTAGTTAAGTGTGATTACCCATAGAAAGGTCAAAACTGCCTTAATAGAAGCATTACAAACAAACTAACGGCAGCAGTAAAGGCATGTAGATTTATCCCCATATATTCACTTCAGTATAATAAGGAACCGACTGAAAATAAACCCTGTCCCACATCACTGTGTGAGTTTCCATTTGGACAGATGTGTTTTCACTGACCTTTCTGTTGAAGCATCCTGACCATGTCCTCTCTGGGCACTGCCACATACTGATCACTGTTACATGCCTGGACAAACAGATGAAAATTCTTGCAGCAGTTAAAAGAAACGCTTTAAAGGTATAAAGTTCACCTCTTTAGTTAAAATGTTTGAGACCTGTGCCAAAAGCAGGTCTAAAGCAGGGCTGCAGAGCCCAATAACTTCTGTTGACCCATTCACGATGGCAAACAGGCATTTTTCCCAGGTTGCTGCTTTTGTGTGAAAGGGCCTAAGTGTTACAGAAAGATCAGATCAGTGTGTGAGTGGGTGTGTGTAGAGACAGCGTTTGCGCCTCAGTGACGTTCACACGTCCATGCTGTCCTGTTCTTCTCCATAGTAAAGGTCTGCCCTGGTAGGACATTAGTGACCTCTTGTTTGCCAGCCCCTAAAACATACACACACACACACACACACACGGGTCTGTAAGCCATCCTGACAGCATGTCAGTGCTAAAAGCCTTGTCAACACACCTGAGCTCCACCCAGCAAACAGCATTCCACTTTGAGGTGGGCTGTAAATCAACCCAGGCTCACAGACCTCACAAAGTAAGATCCTTGACAAGCTCACTTAAGGCCAGTCTGTCAGTTTTTACCCGGGAAACGTTTAATGGAGACTGCAAATGAGTCAAAGCACCCAGCGCAGAGCAGTGTTTGCCTCTGTGGTAACTGAGGTCAGGACAGGAGCAAGCAGCTAGACAGTAGAGGTGTGGGAATAGCAGAGGTGTCATCTCCTGTCTTAAATCTGTGGGAATGAAGCCTGGCTCTCCCTCAGTACATTCTGTATTCTCCTACTTGTAGTCTGCATTGAAAACACACACACACACACACACACACACAGAAACATGTGTCCACAAAAAGTCACCACACAGACAAAACACTTTACAATTCACACAGGCTACACTACAGTGCACATAAACCACGTGCATACAAATCCTCAGAATATATACACATGGCTCACACATACAAGTGCAGCGGCAGCCAGGAAAACAGACCCAGCTATTTGCTCAGCTCAAAGTTTCCCAGAGCTGAGCAAGCCAGAACCTGCTCTGAACTCTCTAGACTAAGCCACTGACGGGCAGGCACACACGCAACATGGCTGGAAATGATTCTATTATTAATTAAAACACAAAGAGCTAGAAATGCAAACAGCCTGCAGAAATGGATTAATCAAAACAAATAAGTACAAAGAAGTTATTTAGAAAGTAAAATTATGTACATTTTGAAATGACTTCATGAGAAATGCTGCAGTGAAGATCTGCATAGAGAACATTTTTATGGACACACCTCGCTTTAAGCATATTCACATGGCAAAAAGGTCAAAATGGTGAAGACATATTTGAATTAATACAGATGATAGCTCTGTGCCTTCATCTAAGAGTGGAAACCAGGTTGGACTGGATAATTCTGGTGACATTTTTTCTGTTTTTGGCTGCAGAACATCACCATACAGAACAGCACAACTGAAGTACAAGAGTTTCCAGCCATGCAACTGTCACGGAGAACATTAAAGCCCTTTTCAGACATGCACTGGAACCCTGAAATTATCTAGACTTTACCCAGGTGAGCTGTATGTGAGATCGCAAATGTCCAAGTTAGTCCACCGGGACATTAAGCTGACTTTACTCTGCCAGCTCCCCAGTACAAAGTCTGCATAATGTCCATGTAAGCTGGGTTGAGCTCATGTGAGAATACAGCAGTGTACAGTCCAGAGTGTTCATACGGAGCTGGCAGGCGTGTTGATGATGTTCTGTCATGTGACCGGTGTGAAACCAGAAGAATACAAAGATCCAATGGTGAAGAAAAACGACTATTTCCAATGAAGATGCCAACGAAAAAGTCTAACTGGAGACACTACAAGATTCAGGAACTTATGCTGTTAAGAGCCAGTGCTAAAATCATCAGACAAATTTAAGGCATGGCAAGAGACTTTGTCATTTATGACCAAATTACATGTGATTGCATCATGTCACGCATCCTGTGTGCTCTATTCAGGCGTTCCTCCCTCATATAAACCAAACGAAGTCTTTCCAACAGGTGAGAATGCATTTGACACTGACTATCTCCCAGTGTGTGCTACATGTGTGAATGGGCAACTTCGGACAAAGTCTGGACCTGATTCCACAGACATAGTCCGGAGTTCATGTGTGAAAGCAGCTTAAGAAACACACAGGTACATAGGTGCCTTCTCTGCAGCTCCTGCACACAGAAGGCATCAGACGGGCAGAACTGTCAAACCAGTTCGAATTTAGCATGTTTGCACAGGCAAAATATCATGTTTGTGATGGTCAAGAAGCCTGGTGTGCTGTTTCTGTCACTGCAGTCGGTGCAGGTTGGCCAGCAAACAAAAATAAAACTTTTTAATTAGTATTTATATCTACAGTTTTAGGTAGTTGTTACATTGCTGCATTTTCTTCCTCCGTCTATCCTTTGTTCTTTCTGTGTGTTGCAGGGAACCTCCTGCATTCTCACACTCCGTGTGGCCGCGCCAGAGAAAGAATGCTCCTTGCCGTGACAACAAAGGCTATCTAAATTGCGATACTGTGTTTCAAAGGATGGGAGGTGGTGGAAAAAAGAGGAGAGAAAGGGGGATAGTGGAGAGGAGGTAGGAAAGAGAGGGAGGGGGGTGGGAGATTTTTTTTCCTAACATGCTCAAACACACACACACACACACACACCATTGGCTCTGTAGGCAGCTCCCATGGGAAAATCCTAGATGAATCTGAAAAGGCGTTGCCATTAGGGCCGATGTAGGTCACATGGTTAGAGCAGCCAATTGGGCACTGGTGATTTGATTCAAATTGTGGTAAGGCAGGTAAGGGGCAGCATGGGAACTGGAAAGAAGATGAGCAAAAACCGCACCATCTTTTCCCTTTGAAAATATCTGGTTTCTTACAGTGAATGTAAAGTCCAAGCAAAGGTTAAAAATACTCAGTTCTACTACTGTCCAAGGTTCTTGTGGTCTAAAACATATATACAGCACATAAAAAAGTTTTTTTCTAGAAACTACTGTATCTCATTGAATATGTGGTGCATTACATGGAAAGAAAAATAAAACATACAACACCAGACATTCTTTGTTTGCTCCCATCATCCCATGTCGAGGATGTTCTGCCATTGTTGCTTCCCTGTCATTCTCTTGGGCATATACAAGTTTTTGTTGCCGCTGTGAAACGATCCAGGTCCAGTGGAAGTGGGATGGCACGCTGAAGGTGAAAAGCAGCGTCATACTGCCATCGAAATGATGAGCAAGGCAAGGAGAAGCTAACAGGCCGAAAGCATTGAGCAGTGCCAAGATCATGCTAGGGGATTTCAATGCTTGGACAATGTTGAACAAGTATAGTTCACTGACCAGTGCAAACTGCAAAACGTTTGTACTGGCTGGGAGAAGGAAGGTGGAAGGAGTGGAAATACCTTATCTCTTTTAGGATTCTTCCACTGAAAGAGCTTACATCATTCATTGTTAATCATTAAATCAAGTTATGTTTGAGTGGAAAATGAAGTCGTCAGTGTGCAATGTCACACCAGTAGCCAAAGAGGCGAGAGTGTGTATGTAAGGTTTTAAATTAATCATCATCATCTCTCTTAACTAATACACTAGTAACTGGATAATTACCCCCTTTCTCTTTACTTTGCTCATTTGCATATTAGCTTTTTAATAGACATCACACTTTGTAAGTCAGAGGTAAATGCAGCCACTCTTCCCATGTACAAATTTAAACAATAAGATGAGGGTGCATAGGTACATTTAGTAAATTGTTTTATGGGCTGTCAGAGCTTGCTCAAAAAGTTACTAACTTCAGTAACTGCAGTGTATATACACTGCATCTAAATACCCAGAGTAACAGCCAGCTGTCTGCTGGAAATACTGTGATGACATATTAAATGTACTTTCCCTCAGTGTCCCGAGGGTAATCCGGCCAGAGTCTCTGTCCAACAGTCTGAGGTAATTACCAGCTGTGTTAACTAACTACTACCACCTGACACAAACCTGAACTTGGACCACGGCAGAGCCTGTCTGGGCTCGACATCACACACACCTTCTTCTGACTCACCTTGCTTGCACACATGTGCAAACACATAAGCACACGCACATACCACACAGGCTTGCAAAGGATGTAAAAACCTCACATGCAAATCCCACACACATGCACACCCTTCCCTGACTCATGGTGCACCCACTCACTTCACCTGCATTAAGCGCAAATTATAGAAATCATATTGTTTCCTTAATTATTTTCCCATGGTTACAAATCATCCAGTCATGGTTTGACAATTGACAGTGAAAGCTTGTTGGTGAGATTCTTTTTGTGCATAAATATTTAATATGAAGACAAAATGAAGGTTGGTATGCATAAAGAAGGTGTTGCAAATCAGGTATGTGATAGGTTTTCTGTGTTTCTGTATTTTTTCAGTTTTGCTTCATTTCTCCTTATGCTCTGTTCAATCGGTTTGCTCTCTCTCTCTCTCTCTCTCTCTCTCTCTCTTTTTTTGGCAGTAATGTTCATGAATGAAGTCCTCTCTGTGCTATAATTTGACTTTTTCCTTGAACAAGTAGATTCAGAGTTAAACTATATCTCTTAGACAAAGAGTGAGTGAGTGATTACAGACACCTGCAATGACATTTATAGGTATAAAGTGATCCCACAGATAATAGTCTAGAGTCTAGCAGATAACAGCCTAGCCATCATACAAATAGCACTAATGCTTGGCACAGTCAATTGATTCTGTTTTGTAGCCACTCAACCTTCATCCCTCAACCTCTCTCTCTCTCTCTCTCTCCAACTGAACATACATCTTCTCCCTTGTTCTACGTCTTGCTTTAAGCTCCAGCTACCCCCTTCCAGTGTCCCCTTCAGTCTCCCTCTCCTCTCTCTTGGTTGTCTCTCACCTCTAACCTCTTTCTTTCTCTCTTTCTCCAAGCATATTTCTCTCTCTCTCTCTCTCTTTAGAAGGCAGTTAGCTGTGGCCAGTCAAAGCCAAACAGCTCAGGGTAACAGCATGCTGAAAAGGCTGGCTGGGCAACGGGTTTT